AACTGCTCTAAAGGCATTTAAGGGTTTCTTTCTTCTCACATCCTGTGAGTCCATGGCATTCCCAATCCACTGAAAGGAAAGAGGATTTCCGAACGGTTTCCTCCACTCAGGTTTTAAGGGTGACCTGCGCTCATCCCTTGGCCGTATTTCCCACTCACGTTCTCTCTTTTCTTTTTCTGTGCTTGTCTCTCTCACACACTTGTTTGGCTCAGAGGGGCCTGTGATCCAGAGCCGCTCTTATTTCAGCCCATCTGAAGTGATTACCTTTGCCTGGGATTCCACCCACCCCCACTGGTCCCCTGGGGAGCTGCGGCAGGCAGACGGCTCCACTTTATTTCCTCCGCCTGCTTCGTGCTGTTCCTCAGCAGAACCCTGCTACAGGTATAGCTCAGCGGGGTTGGAGTGGAAATTATCTAGAGATCAGCGTCAGTGAAGTAGCTCACATTAGCTTTAGTGACAGTTCAACACGGGGCACACAACGTAGAGCTAAGTGGTAATTATGAATCAACATGACATTCATTTTTTTTATGCTGTTGTTTCTTAGACAGGTGTGACAATGCATGGAAACCTTGTGTCGGATCATTTCAGAGTGGGTTTACTTGAAGTAATGGTATGTTTGGCTGTTATACCGCTACCAACAGAATCAATAATTAAGCGCTTTTGTCTGCAAAAATATCATTTTCTGGAAAAAAATTAATATAAATATAAATAAATCAATAAACTAAAACAAGATACACTACCATTCAAAGGTTTGGGCTTGGTATGGTTGTTTTTATGTTACTAAAGTCTCCATATGTTCACCGAGGCTGCATTTATTTGATCAAAAATACATAAAATTTAGAAATATTGTGAAATATTTTTACAAATCAAAATAACTGTTTCCTATTTTTGTATATTTTAAAATGTAATGTATTCCTTTTGATGGCATAGCTGAATTTTCAGCAGTCTTCAGTGTCACATTATCCTTCCGAAATTTTAATATGCTGATTTGATGCTCAAGAAAATTGTCTTAATTATTATCAGTGTTCAAAAGAACAGCATTTATTTGAAATAGACTTTATTTAACAATGTAAACGTCTTTACTGTCACTTTTAAACAATTTAATGCATCCTTGTTTAATAAAAGTACTAAATAAACAAATAAAATCTTACTGACCCCAAATTTTCAAATTGCAGTGTACATTTACAGGACCTAAGAAGCAAAATAGCTTAATATCAAGGATGTTATGACTTGTTTTAAGATAATATAAATTGAATTTATCCTTGTTTACAGCAGCAAGAAGAACTTAATTCAAAATGTGTTCTCTTTATCTCTATATCAATTTAGCTTCTTCAGTAATGTATCTTATTTAATGATGTTTATTTTTTTATTTATTTTTTACTGGAAATCAAGATAAAAGTATTGATTTAAAAAAATGACTTTTTGCAGTGCATCGACTGAATTGAAGAGATATCACTTAAGAGATGTCTTAATCCACAAGCATGAGGAGAATTATCTACGATTAAAACTTTGTTGAGAAGAGGTGCTCATATTCAGCTCAGCTTTGATATCTAATCTGAAGAGCGGAAAAGTTCAGTCTGTTTTGTTGATGCTGCCGACAGCTTCAGCGGTGAAAATGGGAGCGTGTCTGATATTTCTCCTGCTCACTGCTTCGCCTTTTGTCTGTGACAAGCTTGAACTCTGGCTCTCATTGCAGTCAGAGAGTGTATCATTTCTAAAAACAGGCTTAAATGAAGCACAAAAGAGAGAGAAAAGAAAAATGAGGAACTACAGAACAGAAGTTAAGTAAATTAATTCATAATATCTCACATTCTCTCTTTTTTTTGAGATTGTATCTGTCCTCAGATGTGTAAAAAGGAAAACACCATAAGATATAGCTTTAAAGCGCATTATTTCCTGATAATGCTAATTAAACCGCTAGCGTCATTAATTGGTTTGAAGATATCTTTGCATTGAGTTGGAGACATCTTAAGCTCAATTAAAGATAGCTTCGACTCAATTACAGATATCCAAATGCCGTGTCTCACAATTTGCAATCACGATCTTTTTTCGGTGCAATACCAGATGCCCTATAACACAAAGATTGTGCTCTATCCACTTCCAAAGTTTCATTTTATCATGAAAAGATTGTGTGTGTGTCAGTGTGCCTATGCATTGTTTAATCCTATTCTCATCCCAATGGAGATATTATATGTGGCTTTATATATGTGGCTAGGAGTCTGAACAGAGGTTCAGTGGAATTTATTAGTGATTCGTTTGAATATGAGCTGCTCTTTACATGTCTGCCATCGTTTGAGTGATATGCATGTGTTTTCACAGTTTGTGATGAATAAGTTGATATATGGCGGGTGGTATTTGCACAAGCGGTGATGCATTGATCTCCATTTTCTTCACAAAGGGAAAAATCAGCTCACTATAGTCCCTGTTAAGTGACTGACCTTATTAAGCGCCTTACATTTCTACAATTGTAGGGCAACCGATTACTTTGCCCTTTTTAAAAAGAAAAAATTTAAAATTAAGAAGAAAAATCCAAACACTTTAAAGGGGTAAATTCCCTAGAGATGGTATCTATCTAACTTTAGAAATGCTCCTCATATTCTGTTTCTTTTGACATTGATTCTATTAATTATTTTTATCCACAAGACTTGCAATTACTCAGTAAAGTAGATTGTTATCATTGGTTGTACCACAAAGATGTGTTGGCTTGAAAGGGGCAACAGACACTGTTTATTCAAGATTATCTATGAACCTGAAAACTGAAGTGTTAGTTTTCTTTATAGTTAAAACATCTCATCTTCTTTAAAAAAAAAATAGATGAAGAAACCTTGTGGTTTGGGGGAGAGCAAAGGGTGAATAACCATATCACCACTTGAAATAGCTATTCTTAATTAGAATGGTTTTATAGAAATGTGGCAGATGGTGCTATTTACACTATATATGTATTAACGCATTACTTAGTAACGAGTTACTGTAATTTGATTACTTTTTTAGTAACGGAGTAATTTAACGTGTTATAATTTTCAAAATAGTAATTAGAGTATAGTTACAAGTAGTGCTGGGCGGTATACCGGTTCATACCGAATACCGGTGTTTATTTTTGTTATGATATTAATTTTTTTAATTCCGCAAATACCGCTATGTCGCTTAAACAACGTTCGGAACGCGACACTTGTTTGAAAGGGGTCCCTTTTCACTGTTCCACTGTGGTGAGTGAGTTCCAAAACTGAAGCTGTAGAACTAATAGAACGTGATGACACAGAAGAACTCTCCACAATATCCACATTGACTGCCACAAATATCCACCGCCCCCTGCCATCAGCTCCTGCGTCTCACGCACACACACAAGCGTGACTTTAGCACTAGATTTAGCAACTTTCAGACCCTTTTAGCGGCTTTTTTCCATAGAATATTCATACTGACAAACCTAGCAACTTTTTTGGATAAACCTTAGCTATGGTTCAGTTGGAAGACTTCGCCAGTGCTGTCCCGCGAGCGTGAGGTCTGACTTTCCTGGAGAAGTGTCACCTCTCTCGGCGTCTGTTCTGTGCAGTGAGCGGCAGAGAAGCAGCGCTTTCAGTTGGCCGCACCACAGCCGACTCGTCAATAAATGAGTACAAAACAGCGTTTCCTTGCACCTGTCGCTTACTTATTGTTTGGAATTATAAATATGAGCGTACTTCGTCTGTTAATATCACATGCACTTGTTTGTTTGTTGTTTTGTTTTAGTTTGTTACTCAGACACAGACAGTGCGCTGCATGAGACAAAAAAGTAATATAGTCAAAACAACCGCATAGCCGCTCTTTAGTGTAGATGCATGTTGATTTTATCAGACGATGCTGCGATTATAAATGTGAGTGACTCCTGTTTAACATGTATTAAAAGCGGTCGTGTTTAGTCACTATTTAGTGTGGTATTTTTTTGACAATATTCACTCATCATGACAGTAAAATAGGGCATTCTAAGTCAATATACTGCAGTATTTCCTCTCTCAATCAGTAGAAATATGGTTAACACCCGGTCATGCATAAAAAAAAAAATACCGTCATGTACCATGAAACCGGTATAATTTTGAAAAATACCGTGATATAAACTTTTGGTCATACCGGCCAGCACTAGTTAAGCCGAAGTCTCTATACGTTACTGCTGCGTTCCATTGCTGACAGAATGCAGTGTTTTCTAATCTAGAGATTGTAAAAAGGATGTAGCACGTGCACTGTCGAGTCAAGTGCCAGTGGGTTAGAGACCTGCTCCCGCGAGACCCGACGCAACAGAGTTGGGCGAGTGCTGGTGCGTTCGGGTAGACACTCGTGTATGTGCGGGATGCGGGAGAATACAATGATTCACGGGACTCCCGCAAAATAGAAATATCTAAACATAAAATATCTAAAACAAATAAATTGTTATTCATCCATTGCACAAAAGCAACATGAACTAATATAAAATATAAATGAATAACAGGTGCAAACTTATCCAGAGTTTCTATTTAGGCTATAACACGTGTTCGCAGCTTTGAGCAATGCAGTGCTGAAATGTGCGTGCTCACGAATCCTCTCATTATGAACTGAGATGTCTTTTAGAGATTATAAATGCAGCGCTCTTTGCTGGCATTCTGCCATGCCAAACCTTGCACGCAGCAGCCGCTTGCTTTAGTTAAAAATAACAGTGTTCTGTGAATGTTAATGATTTAATAACAAATATTTACCGGGAGCGTGTATGCTGGGATTTCATAAATTGCATGGAGAAAAAAAGTCACGTAACTAGTAGTGTAACTAATTACTAATTACTTTTGAAATAAAGTAATCAGAACAGTAATTTGATTACATTTTCAGAGTAACTTGCCCAACACTGGTATTATCTGTTTAACGTTTACCTCTACATTATTTTTTAATCTCTCTCACACCATATGATGTTTGTGTTTAATATTATTGAATATGTTTGTTTTAGCTTATGTCATTTTCTTTCAGCATCTGAACCATAATTCCAATGCTGTGTTTTGAAGGTCGCTGTGCAAACTGTGGGGAGAATGTGGTCGGTGAGGGAACGGGTTGTACCGCCATGGACCACGTCTTCCATGTGGACTGCTTCATCTGCATGACCTGTGGCTCTAAGCTCAGAGGAAAGCCCTTTTATGCCGTGGAAAAGAAGGCCTACTGCGAACCCTGCTATATCGTGAGTGAAATCCACTCAATGCTCTGCATGCACACACAGGGTCTCCTACACTAATAGTCGAGTACAAGTGTTCTTCATCACACAAAATATCTACTAGATGCACAACCAGTGGCGGCTCGTTGGGGAAGGCACAGCTTCCCCAAAATGTTGTGGTGAAAATGAGAGGAGGACGATTTAATATTAATAAAATTGACAATTGATTTCAGTTCATGTCTCAGAATGTGTATATTTTTGTTTGTAATTTCACAGCTGTAATACCATAACATGTTAATGAAGTTGGAAAGCGCCGCTTTTCTATCGTGAATGTGCCGAATCTGCTGATGTAATTACAACCGCTAGGTGATAGAGAAGGGGAGGGGGAGGCCGGGGAAGAGCTGAGCTCTTGTGCCTCCGTTGGTAAAAAAAAAATTAGCCAATCACCATCGAGTGTTCACTTTCAGCGCTGAGGAGTGTTGAGAAAAGAACCCTCGCAAGGAAGGCTAGCCTCCCTTCTGGTATATCAACCAATCATCATAGAGACGTAAATTACGTGATATTAGTTTGAAGGTCTGCCGCTGCGCTGATAATGTACCAAGTCCTTATGATGAGTAGCGATATTGAATATTTGATCGCCAACAGATTTACCAAGCTGTCATTCAAACAGTATATATACAAATAAAAAAAAGGGTAAACATGCCTAACTGGATATAGGCTACAACTGTCGGCTTAATTAAATGGCACAACAGGCAGCTGTCTTTTAACACAGAATTTTAAGAAGGGATGGATAATCGCCAAGAGATTTACCAAGCTGTCATTCAAACAGTATATATACAAATAAAAAAAAAACTGGATATAGGCTACAACTGTCGGCTTAATTAAATGGCACAACAGGCAGCTGTCTTTTAACACAGAATTTTAAGAAGGGATGGATGTTTTCTTCAAGTGATAGGCCAGGAAAGTGAAATTATATTATATTGCTGTATGTGTGTCGTTTTCTTTAAGTTTTCTGACTAAAAGCATCCAAAAAGCCATTTTAAAGTGGTTAAGCAAATAATAATAATAATAATCGGCAGGGATCCCAGACCAATACAATTAGTGTGCCTCCTTTATTTTAAAACCCACGAACCGCCACTGTGCACAACAGGTGTGTGTACATTAGGGGTTGCATCGACTAGTCGACTTCAATGCTCTGCCATGACACTTTAAGCTTGACGTCGACTAGTCACTGGTCCTATAGAGGGTGCAACAGGATGAGAAATCTTTGAAGGACTTCCACATTTACGCTCAGTTTCCAAACAGTTAAAATGACAAATAAATGCATACTCTGAAAGCACTCAACAAGATATGTGTGATTATATTACTGGATGTTCGAAGTTGAACAGGAGAATGCACGTTTTAAACAGCTTATTGTACAGGTAAGTTAATCGCCGTTCTAATCTAATGCGCTGCTGCACTGTAACGCACACACATAGGCTTCAGACAGTAGCTCGCACATTATGCACACATCGCGCGCGCACACAGAATCATTCAGCGCTGAAATGTATTGTCAACACTGTTCTGTGATTTCTCAATAAAATAGCTTAGAAACGGAAAAGTTCAAGCATATATTTCTTAATAACTAAATCCCATAACTTCACTACTAGTAGAGAGACGTTGCCAGGTAGAATTAATTCACACACGCAATCGCTCTCAATGCATTCATATGAATGCAATCTTTACTGTGCTACTTTATCTGTATCTGATTTAGAACTAACAGAAATCTGTGAGAAATATAACGACCCAAAGACAAAAGAACTGATAAAAATGAGCTGTTATAGGAGCAATAGCCTTGTGGGCAGCGCTGTGTCATATGCCATAGCTGTGCACAAGGTGTTCTAGTCTCAGCTCCAGACTTTTTTTGTTCATTAATGATGTCATCAGCGACTAGTCGACTTCGACTCGACTTTCATCACATAAAAGTCGACTTTAAAAAATCAGAAGTCATTCAACCCCTAGTGTACGTATGCCATTTTTACAGTATTTTTTTGGCTTTATTACATTAGGATGGTGCACATGTGACAATAATTTTTTATTTAAATTTTTTTTTTTTTAAGACGGGACTCGACTTTGTGTCTTTGAAAGCACAACAGCTCCTTATGTAAATGAGCAAAACACTAATTGATCAATTAATTAGAATTGTTTTCTATTTTAATATACTTTTAAATCTAATTTATTCCTGTGATGGCAAAGCTGTCATATGCCATAGCTGTGCACAAGGTGTTCTAGTCTCAGCTCCAGACTTTTTTGTTCATTAATGATGTCATCAGCGACTAGTCGACTTCGACTCGACTTTCATCACATAAAAGTCGACTTTAAAAAATCAGAAGTCATTCAACCCCTAGTGTACGTATGCCATTTTTACAGTATTTTTTTGGCTTTATTACATTAGGATGGTGCACATGTGACAATAATTTTTTATTTAATTTTTTTTTTTTTTTAAGACGGGACTCGACTTTGTGTCTTTGAAAGCACAACAGCTCCTTATGTCAATGAGTAAAACACTAATTGATCAATTAATTAGAATTGTTTTCTATTTTAATATACTTTTAAATCTAATTTATTCCTGTGATGGCAAAGCTGAATTTTTAGCAGCCATTACTTCAGTTTTCAGTGTCACATGATCCTTCACAAATCATTTGAGTATAATATTTTGTGCTCAACATTTTTTATTATCATCAATCTTGAAAACAGTGCTGCTTAAAATTTTTGTGCAAACCGTGTTCCTTTTTTTCAGAATGCTTTGATGAATAGAAAGTTCAAAAGAACAGAATTTATTTGAAACAGTTTTATTTTAGTATTATTGAGATACAATTTGTTATGGTTTTATTAATATTTTAAGATGAATATTTCAGATTTTATTTTATATTATTTTTTTTATTTTAGTTAAAGTTTAGTAATTTTGTTGTCATTTTAGTAGTGTGTGTGTGTGTGTGTGTATATATATATATATATATTTATTTATTTTTATTTTTATTTTTTCAGTTTTAGTTCTTTTAGCATGTACATGTTAAATTAAATTAAAATGAGAATTGTTGTAGCGGAAATAAAATGTTTTTATGTTTTATTTGATTTAATTTAATGATTATTTTAAGTAACACCTTTTTTAATGGTTTTAGTTTTAGTTCATTTTAGCTTTAGGCAACTATAATAATCAATTTTAAATTGATTTTTTTTTATATATATATATATATATAAACCATATACATATGGTCAGCCACAGATGAGTCAAAATGTATCAGTATATGCATGTATGTATAGATAGATATATAGATAATATATATATGTATAATGATACATCGTGACCTCATCTTTTGTTGTCTACAAGTACACATTCATACTGTTAGTTTACTTGCCGCTCAGCACATTTCTACACACATATCCAAGAGGAAATACTTCAGCGGCACTAGTTTGCATGCTCTTTGATGCTCTAGTTTCCTTGTCTTCATATGAAGCTAGCTTCAGCTCTCATTGGCTCCATGTTCTGAGGTCTAAGATCTGCAGGAGCATCTGGCTCTGTAAAACCTGGATTTAGGTTCTTTCAGAAATGTTACCCAAACCGTTGCTCTTTTCATAATCATTCACCTATTCCTGTCACACTCCTCATTCTTCCCTGATAAGCTGCTTCACAGTTGTTAGCTCGGTAGTCAAATCCATAAGAGGCATAAAGATTAGACAAACAGTGGCCTCGCATGCAAAGGACCAAGCGTCACGTTCAACTCATACATCTGATAAGCATTCACACGGGCAAATCACACTTGAGATGTAACACGAGAATTACAATCACATTAGACTGCCAGATAGGATTACTTTCCTTTGTAGATTGGAAACCAAATCAGGGCCTCCTTTTTCTCCCTCCACCGTCCACCTACCCTTTTTTGTTTCTGAAAATATCTGTTGAAAATTCTCTTATTTCTTCAGGCGAATGGTAAGACAAAAGGAAATTAGTGACAGTTACAGTAAGAAATGAAAATTAACATTTCTCATCAAACTAGAGGTTAGGAGTTTCTTATAAAAAAAGCGAACAAACTTTCTGAGCATGTTTTCCCACATCTGAGAGCTGTGCAACATCTACATGTGCTGGTAGACATTGAAAGTTTTGAGAACCATATTTTGTTTGTCATTATTACAAAACACTTTTTAATTCCTGTTTTGAAATGCACTTTTCAGCTACTCTGTGTGGGAGACTAACATGGATTACATTAAGAGTATTAGAGAATTACGTTCCTTTAGTTAGCAGTTCTGAGTAGAGGTCTGTAATAGCTGGTCATAGCTGGCTATTAGTATTCACATTCTAACTTTATACATAGCTAATTTTGTAATGGCTGTCAGTGGAGAAAGATGGGTTTTAGGACAGATGGTGTAGTTCTAGCCAGACGTTGACTCATTGGTTGGGTCCAGAAAGATCCACAAATCTATTTTAAATAAATACCAGCAAGTGCTAAAGGCTGTAATGTCACAAACTCTTTCACACCATTTCGACAACCACATTTTTTTGGAAGACCTATCAATCAAATTAGTTCACACTTAGCCACTAGTAACCTGGTCTGACCGTTCTCAACCATGGCTCTTTATATGTAAGAGAGCAAGCTCGGTAGAAAGTGAAATATTGTTATAAAAGGATTCTTTATTTGATTGTGGCGTTTATATAGAAAGGATGGATCACATACTGGCTAATTTCCAAGCTGACAAGAGCAAAAGTGCAGAAAAGGCCATTTCTGTTTGATCGGTCTTTACTGTAAGTATATTTTGAAACCCAGAGTCGGTCAGCACCAAAAATAAGTATTAGCCCAACTCACAAAGAAACCAGGCCATTCCTCAAACTGCCTTTTATTTCATCATTGTTTCCCGTTTGTACTTGTGTTATTTCCATTTCCAGTGGCATGTGTAGCCTACTTACATTTCTGTTGTGGCCGCAGTGTTTCCCTATTTCCCTTTTAAGAAACCGCTGTATTACTGAGCCAGCACTTTCTTTAGTGTTCTTC